TATAATGCTAATATCAATTTTTTTAAAGAATGGTTATACTAATTTCTAATAAAAATGTTTACATACATTTCATGACGATGTCGTGGATAATATCAATGCTACTTGATTTTGTAAAAACTTAAGGTAATTAATTAACTATAAAATGTGTTACCATTACATGTTAAATTAGTATATTTCAAAAGTGCTTATTCGACGAAACATGAAATTGTGATATTCATAAACGAGTCCATGATTGCCATGATTTGGTAAACACATTTATAATCTGATGTAATTGTTACATGTATTACTTAATATGATAACATGACCATACAACAATGTTGTGGTCATATTAAGTTCAAAAAAATGTACAATGTATGTACAATGCGATGAAAAACTATCGGGAGCTACTAGTGCTGGATCTTGTATAACGACGGTGTCGATGTCGTGGATTCCCAGGTGGGCTTCGCGATCGAGTCCTTATTCGGCGTCGTGGTGGTCGTGGACTTCTACGGCGATTCATGGGTGGAGTACGTCTGCGATAACGTGGCGGAGTATTTCTGCCACCACCTATCCATCGTGGTGGCATACGTCGTCCCATGCCGGGAGACATGCGTCGCATCATCAGCGGTCGAGGTTTCGGCAATAATACTGGAGCAGCCGTAATTTCTTGACCATCTATCTGCCCTGTGAACAGATTACAACGCGCGTTGACACGAAATAATTTTCCAGTGATCAATTTACACTTACCTCCATCCATATGTTTCATAGCATTTTCAGCTTCATCCGCAGTATCAAATTCGACGTATGCAAATCCTCTTCCTTGATTAGGATGAAGTTTATCCATCGCAAAGTCGACCATTTTTATCTGACCGTATGCCGAAAATATTTCCATGACATGCTCTTTAGTAACATTCCGTGTTAGATGGCCAATATGTATTTTTGTTGGTCTAGGAATCGGCGAACGTTCTCTACGCTTTCTACGTGGGGAAGGAGATCTGCAATGTTTGTGTAAAATTAATGACTAATTTGCTAATTAACCAGAAAAAAATTAAGAATAACTTGTAACAAATATAATACCTAGAGCGTCCTTTAGGTTTAGGTTTTTCAGGAATAGAGTTGCTTCCCTTTTTCTTCTCCTTTTCGCGATCTCTATCCCTATCCCTGTCTCGTTCTCTCTCCTTATCCCTCTCCTTTTCTTTATTATCATGCCTTCGCGAAGCATCAACACTTTTGCTACGACTGCGTTTTCTTCCTCGGTCTCTGGAACTACCTGAAGAACTAGCTGAACTGCTAGACGAGCTACTGGAAGTTGAACTTGATCTGGAGCTACTGCCACTACTAGAACTCGAAGACCCAGAGCTGCTGTCTGACGAGCTATTGAACAAAAATTTCGTATATGTCAATAACACCTGCTGTGTAAATATACAAATTTAACTTGTATTTTCAGCCTTTCCGATTTTACTAACCTACTTCCGCTGCTAGAAGAAGATGCTGCCCGTTTCTTTCGTTCCTTTTCTCGTGCTCTCTCCTTCTTATTCTCCTTGTCTGTAGCTTCAGAGTCGCTCTTACCCGTGCTGTCCTTTCGGCTCCGAGCCCTAACATAACACAAACAACGGGCACAGACGAAAGGTTAAAATCGAATGATCAGTTGAACGACTGATGTCGATCGCGTGCAACAGAATTACTTACATGATTAGCGATGATCAATTTTTCCTAATTGCACTCTCGGCAAGCACCCGAAAAACAAGGCCAACTCTAAAGAAAAGTCAATGGTACGCCGACCATACGCCGCTCAAACGGCGATAATGGCGGACTACCGGGGTACGAAGTTCTCACACTACTTTTAACAGTATTTCGTAAATTAAGCTCTTGTGTCCGCTATGCAAGATATATAGTTAATCGCGAAGAAATATTTAACCGATCAATTAACCGCACAACGCGCTATTAAATCATCATTAAAATAAGTATATATACACACTTTGCACGCATAAACGTAAATATGATATATGATTACCGCTAGATCGTCACACCGTTAAGCCCGTATCACATTATGCATTGCGGATGCGGATCGGATTCGGATTACGGATTGCGAATCGTCGACTATCCAATCAGAGCAAAGTAGCCAAGGATCTGATTGGGTGGTTGACGATTCGCAGTTCGTGATCCAAATCCAATCCGTGTCCGCAGTGTGTAGTGTGACCTTAGAACATATATAAATGAAAGAGGAATAGCAGGTTGAAATGTGTCCGGAAAAAGTGAGAGAAAAAATCGTAGTTGTCTCTCTCTTGTGAGTAACTGTTCGAAAGTGCGCATGCGCGCCATTTGCTGACTCTACAAGCATCGTCTCTGTAGATCTACAGGGTGTCCAATTTTAATCTATCATCTCTCGTAACTTTGCAGGGAACGATCGTAGAGAAAAATGTTTCATACAAAAGTTTTTTGACTTCGAGGGAAACATAAGATGGTGCTATTGGTGTGACCTTGGATAGTCGTTTAAAGATTACATGAAGGTCACCTTCAGTTTCTTAAATAGAACCCCCTATTTTTCATTACATATTGGGTGCGTTCGGAGAGCACGCTTTTATGGCTTCTGCACACAGGACGCGGAAACGCTTGCCGCGCGGCAAAAGACGGAATTGGATTAACCAGTTCATTCGAAAACGCTATATGATTTTCTTTCTCACTTCCTCCGGACATGTTTTTCTTTCGAGAACAATAAGCATTCCTCTTCCATTTATACATGTTTTAGGCCGATATTTATGGTCCGTTCTTATATTGAAGATCGTCTTAAGATACGATCTTAAGATGTTATGCGGTCATTTGATTGGTTGAAATATTAAGATGACACAAGACCACGCTTAATAGCTCTTGCAGACCAGCGCGATGACGCGACGCGCGATATCCAATGAGAGCCGCGAGCCGCTAGTGTGATTCGGGCTTTAGACGATCTTGGATATAAGAACGGACTATGAATACTAGAGTCCTAGATTATTAGAGAGGCGCCAACTCTACTCCCACCATGCCCACCGCCGCCATCTTAAGACACAAACGTCAGTAGTATTTATATATATATACATATATATGTTTTAAATATGTGCAGCTTAATTTTGCCGTAGGTCGTCACATTAAGTACAATCCGCGATACAGTAGCGCGACCCAAAACTTGGCGGCCCACGCGCTGGCGCGTCCGCGCGTAGTTCCGGGCGGCGCCGCTACGCGACGATGGTCGAGCGAGCCAACCTGAAAGTAGAAAGCGGTCAAGCGGGGATATAAGGCGGACCCCCTGCGGAGAATTCGTATATTTGTTTTTAACAACTGAGCCCGTTTCAATTGCAGAAATACCAATTCAATAATTGATTGTAACTCATGATAACAGCAAATCCGACTTCACACTACATGAAATCGATTTACTTTTCATCTGCGAAATGATAAATTCTTTATTAAAAGGGATTATTTTTTACCTATGGATTGACTATGGTAAATTCCAATTCAATTGGATTAAAACAGGTTTAATTATAACTTATGAAATCGTATAATTTCGGATTGAGGTGGATGTATATCACTCAACATTAACCCGCCTGAAGCGTACTAAATTCGATTTGACTATTTTCAATCGGTTTCAATACCGCATTTTCGGTACAGAAATCTCAATCAATTCGGATTACATTTTTTTTTAATCCGTTTCAATCGACCATTTTCGGCAGGGCAATGGGAAGATCTCACCCGTATATGTCGCAAGTAAGGGTGTCCCACAAGGATCAATCTTAAGCTCCCTTTTATTTAATCTCTATGTCGCCAAATGCAAGCAGTCTCTCAGGCGGGATTGCCGGATCATTCAGTTTGCGGACGACTTGGCAATTTATGCGAGTTCCGCTATCATCCGGGACTCTCTCGGGGTGGTGGAGAGATCGGCAAACGGTCTCTTGCGATTTTTGCTCGATAGGGGCCTGGCCGTGTCGCCGGCTAAGTCAGCTCTCGTAGTTTTCAGTAAGAAGAGGATTAACCCTCTCAACTTCTCGGTAGTTCTGGACGGTGTCTCGGTCGGGTCGTCACGCACGCACAGGTTTCTCGGGGTCTTGCTTGACTCCACCCTCGGGGGTGGGGGGGATCACGCCCGCTATTTGGCGGAGAAGTGTGGCAGGCTTGCAAATGTGTTGAGGTCGCTGTGCGGGGTATGGTGGGGTTCGGACCCGAGGACCCTTCTTTGTGTTTTCAAGGCCTTGGTGCGAGGGTCGATCGAATACGGGGCCTTGATCTTCCCCACCCACAACGGGAATCTGATGGAGCTTTTGGAAAGAACTCAACGCAGAGCCCTGCGTTATTGTGCGGGTTTGAGGCGAACAACCCCGACTAATGTAGTCTATGCGGAAACGGGAATCGGCCCGGTTCGATATCGCTTCAAGTATCTGACAACCAAATTTACTCTCAAATCCTTTGCCCTCATAGACAATGTCCTTATAGATAGGCTTGGTGATTTACAGGCGGCTCTTGTCAACAATAACAGATTCGACCTGTATAATAGATTTCCTCTGTACAGAGCGTTTTGCAGGGTGAGGGGATATAGGCGTAGGATCGCCTCCTTTACCAAAATCCCAGCATACCTCTTCTCCTACGAGACTTCGTCCTATGCCCCGAGGGTTGAGATCACCCCTCAAACGGAAGTGGAGAACATCCGTCACGCTTCGTTTCCTCAGCTCGTCTTTCAAACTGTCGTCTCGCATCTCATGGAGGAGAGGCACCTCTTTTTTACGGATGCTTCGAAGGAAGAGTCCGGGGATTACGTCGGAATGGGCATCTACTCCCCCTTCCCGCATATGGAGAGAAAATTTAGATTAGATGGCTGTTCTTCCGTGTTCTCGGGCGAATGCATCGCTATCATTCATGCGGTGGAATTCATCCTGGAAAGCGGTATTGAGAGGGCAATGGTCCTCACGGACTGCCGCAGTGTGGTTGATGTCATTTCTAACAACAAAATTGATAGGGACCACAACTATCTCATTTTAGTTTTGAAAAATAAGCTGAGGTCGGCGTTCCTTCAGGGGATTGACATAATCCTCACTTGGATTCCGGCCCATGTCGGCATACAGGGTAATGAGACGGCTGATCGTCTTGCTAGAGAGGCTTTGAGGGGAGGCGAGCCCTCGGGTTACCTCCCCCCCCACTCGGACTTTTATTCCATTCCGCGTAAAGATTACATCGAGACGGTCGGAGGCTTTCTTGCAGACCAATCGGTTTACAAGGGCTCCCAATATTTCGAACTCTATTTGCCTTTTTCCCCCGATCCTTGGTTCGCTAAGTCGAGTTTGAACTTGAGCCGCCTTGAAATAACAACAATTAGTCGGATCCGATCAAATCATTACAATCTTAATTACAGCTTAAACAGATGTAACATTGTGGAATCCCCCGCTTGTAACTGCGGGGCACCAAAGCAGGACATAGGCCACTTTTCTCTGGTCCTGCCCGTTAGTTGAGCACCATCGTGGCCAGCTCCTCCGCTCCATCCAGCGGAGCCTGGGAGTTCCTCCACCGTACGACGTATTTGTCCTCCTTAAGGACCCCACCTGTGGTGTGATTGCGCCTATTGTTTCCTTCCTTAAAAGGTGCGACATTTCGATTTGACGTTTGACCGTTTGACTTTCGAGCGCATGCACGCCTTCCCCCTCCTGGAATGCTGGGGCGAGATGGAAACATGCAGGAAGAAAATCTGGCAGCATGAACATTTGTTCCTTGCCAACAAAATAAATAAAGAAGAAGAAGAAAAACGGCAGCGTGGCGACTCTCATTCTTCTCTTTGATAATACGTATCAAGCGGTACGCGGTGGCATCGCGACGTCAAGATATAATAACGTTATAAGGTTAATGTTCGCGACGTCAAGATATAATAACATTATAAGGTTAATGTTATATTTGAATCTGCTGCAGAAAATATATTTGTTCCTATCGAGTAAGTAGATTGAAATTTTGTATATATATCTGCTTATATATGTCTGCTTATATATGTTTATTTATTGTTTTATAAGTATATTATTTCTTGATTATATCTGAATATTGTCTAAATTATAGCGCTTATTTGCAGGATAAAGCAAAATCAATCAATCCTTTCAAGAAGGCCGGTATATTTTTAGCTGAGATTTCTTCAGCTGGAATTGCATACGGTATAAGACCGTATGCAATCCCAGCTGAAGAACTTTGCTAAACAGCGTAACATATTGGGTTATAGAGATTTGGCAGTAACAGACAGTAAGTACAATATAGTAGCACATATAAAACATTCAGTAGCACATATAAAACCAGATATGTAAACTAAATTAAATATTACAATTCTGTTCTTTTC